ACATAAGCATCAAGTTTTATAGTACGAACAGATTATTTCACGAAACGAATCACTGTCATATATCACATCGTCTCTTTTATTTATCATTTGTCCAGTATACTTTATTAAATACACATTGATATCTCATTCCATCTACATGTATATCTTTATCGCATCAGTCTAGGACCAAATGAATCGATATTGGAAAAAGCCATAGGTCTACGTGTGAGTTTCATAAAAATAAAATTAACCGCGGAAATGCATTTGATATCAGTTGTGATTCTACTATCTCATTAAATTCAAGTATTTTCTACAAATATTAAAAAAAAAGAAGAATTCTTGAGATTCTTCTTTTTTACCTACCGACTACATTAGACCAATTTTTAACAGATGATGATTATTAACTAAAACAGAGTGAACCATATGAGAGTGGCTCTATTACCGACAGCTATCTTACTAGTGTTTCAATTGCCACTAAAACCGATAGGAAAAATTCAACAGCACGATTATTGGAATACAGCGAACTCGACTGGCAACTTATCATCAACCGACTTTTGTACGAACTCATAGTCTTTTTCTGACCGATAAGTTGAAACCAAGGTTTCAAAAATACGTTGAAGTTCATCTAAATTCGTTTATTAGAAATTATCCATCTATTTCAGAAAAAAATCCTTAGTGTCCTTTTAAACAATGAAGCAATCAGAAATTATTTGAAAATGTTCATGATCCATTTCTCAATAGCCTCATTGACTTCTTGAGGCATCTCTTCCATAATCCAATGAGTCACGTTCATTTCGAGTACCATCAATTGCGTCATATATTGTTTTTGAGAGGTACATGATGCAGGAATACCGACAGCATCTCTTAACCTACCAATGTAGAGACATGACATTTGTAGATTGGGATCCAAATTCCGTCCGTCTACTTCATTAATATTGTTCAACTGAGCTGTATACCAATTCAATTTCGGTTTCATTCTTTCCAAGATATAGCCAAGATAAACGTGATAATCGGTATCCGATAAATAAGATGCTCGATGAGACAATCGCCTAGCTTCCAAAAGCCATTCTTTCAGTTTACCTGTGGGAGCAAAATTCAAACGTCAAAGAGTAAGAGCATCATCTATGGGCGAAAACACGATATCAAGAAAACTATTGGCATTCTTTTCGATGAGATGGGCCGCGTCTGAATCGGAAGCGAAAAATTTCGAATACCCATATCCATCATAGCTGAGTATCTCCGTGGCGATATCAGCAGTGCTACTGATGCTCTGATAGCCAGGCGGTATATAGCCGATGCTCAGAAGAATAAGAGCTTGAACGCGTTTTGGTTCATATAGAACGAGCCGAGAAGCAAACAATGCCCCAAAATCATGACCGACAACAATCACTGGATGATTAATCATTAGATGTGAGAGAAGTGTGACAAGATGAAGGACCATTTGTTAAGTTTTGTGCTCTGTAATATCAGAAGATGAATATGTCCTGCCATAACCCAAAAGATTAGGTGTTAAACAGTCATAACCAAGTTGACTGAAATGATTGATTTGATGACGCCAGGAGTGCAATGACAAACCAATTGATTGGACTATATGATCTTTTTTGACGATAGTAAAAGGGTAGGCTAATTGTCATGTCAGTCACAAAATGAATCGTTGAAAAAATACTTGAGAAGAGAAACAGTTGACTTTTTGAACTGCTTAATCGAAAACATACATTGTGAAGGTTAAATCAGTTCCTAAAAAAAGTCAAAGCATAATTTTTTTCGTCAATTGACGTATCTACTATCTATTTAGGTTTGTGTCACATCTGTGTGAAACACGATTATTATTAACTGTCGATATCAAGATGGAGACACCGTACTTAGTCGTGCTTTAGAGTGTATTAAAGTAAAGTGCGCGTTGTGCAAATTTACACTATGTCGAGTTTTTAGTTGAATTATAGATACCTAGATGTAGTTTTCGATGTTGATCAAGAATCTGACGTTATTTTTTCATTTCGTTCATTTTTTTCAAGAAAAAAAACGCAAAATATTTAGAGGATGTTAGCATCCAAAACCAATGGTATTTCGAAAAAAGCTGGTATCTTACTCATTAGCTTTTCATTTTTCATTCTCAGCGGCATCATTTTCAAATTCTTTATATAAAATTAGGTCTAGAAAAGTCATATATGTAGTACTCAACATGGGTACCTACGAACTTGTGTTCATTCAATCCTATCTGAGAGTCCACGATGACAAAAGTCACTTGTGTGCTCTTGATTTTCACGTTTGTCGGTCTTTTTCGACGCTTGTTAGTCAGATAGTGATGGCTATTTATTTACTATTGTCTCTGCTGATCAACATCTGTTACACGATTACCATTAGCTATGTTATCACCAAGAAGAACATGAACACATATATGCGCAACACTTGTAAATACTGCTGGACAGCGTTTTCCTCACGTCTGTTGTATTGTTAGTCATTTTGCCAATTCTAGCAAATATCAAAAACACCTTGAACGCTGTTTGCGCATCAGAATTTTGAAAAGTAATTGAAATGTGTATTTATTGACACACGCAACTATCTTACCAAACTTATGAGTGTTTCCCAAACTGAGAAAATCTTATTCATCATCAGGAAATGATTCTAGTATCGCGCGACTGTTTTTATAGGTTTCACGATCAATGAGCCACTTCAACCTGCTACACGAAATACTAGGCGAGAACAAGGAGCTAATGACTGCTCCTGCGATCACTCCCATGCCTCAACTTTTCTCGCTTTCACTTTTCATCATCGGCTTCTCGCTTGGCTGCCACAAACTGAAAATAAACGAACTAAGCTACATTCTTATCACGTTCTACTTTACCTAGTTCATTTCTCAACTAGCCAGTGTCTTGCTTTGTGTCTCTATTGTCATTTGTTTTTCGGAAGAGTGGCATGCGACTGATCTAGCAAAGCAGATTTTAGTGTTAAAAAAGCGTCATTGACAAGGATTACCGACAACGAAGATGAGTCCATATGTCGTTGTCACGACGAAAGAAAGTAGAAAATAAAAGTATTCTAGGAAAGTTGAGTGATTGTTGGCGTGAATGTGACGGGGGTATATCAACACCTTAAACATAACACCCCCACACTCAATGTTTTTCGATTAAACTTGTATAAGTTTACATTGAAACTTGCTATAAAAATTTCATTTATTGGGTGTTTTCTTCTAGAAATATTTTTTCAAGCAGCACTATAACTTAAACTGTATTTTCTCAACAACCAATATTTATTTTCAGGAAATATCAAAGGTACTTTTCATTCAAATACTAAATTAACAAAAGCAATTACTTGGTAAAGTGGATATGACACATCTTTTTTTTTTCAAAAGGAAGTTTTTCTTATAATGAAATATATCAGTCAAATGAAATTTCATATTGAAATCATTGATGATGATGAAGAACAGTAAATATCATTATTTAACTAATAAGGATGGAAAAATTGATCTTATTTATCATGAACAAACTTGACCGTGAGATCATCTGATATGCTGATATGATTCCCATTCTATTCGCGTATAGCGACACTAAATTTTGCTTTTTTATCTATGAGAAATGTATTAATATCTACATAAATATTGGATAAGGAAATATGAAATTTTCTAGAGCGTTCGAACGTTTTTTATAGTCGAGATTGCTAATCAACAAAAAAGCAATATTATGTAGAATTATTCATTATAATAAGGTAAAGACAACAATGAAAAAAAGGATATATTTTTTTAAGATAAAAAACAATGCTATTTCTATATCGACGGTGCTCCGCGAGATTCGCCTATATTCATATTAAAATAATAAAAGCGTTCTTCGCCTTTACTTCATGGTTTTACCCATATAATAGATAGTTTCATGCTCGATTCAGGTTCAACAGTTGCTGTTTTCGATCGATGCTAAACCTTGATACACTAGCGTGCTTTTCTTCAGTGTTCTTCATTTATCATACGATGAATCTAGCGAAAATCATCTAAACAAGGAAAATTTGAAAGATTAGACTCAAAAAAAACCTATTCATCGTTTTTATGATCAATATGCTGTAGACATACTACTTCTAAAATATTTTCTGTTTTTTTTTCATAGTTTAATAAATTATCCAGATGCAGAATGATTGATTGATGAACATGATATATTTATGCATATTAAATTAAAAATTGTTCAGAACGCACTGGATCGAGAGTAAATGGATGAAAAATAGTGATTGATTTCAATGAACGATATAATAAAAAAAAGGCAGTTTTAATAATTAATTGATGTTTATTATATTGTTCAAGATAACGTATATTAGCTTCAACATTAATCGGTAAAATAGATAAACCAGAAAAAAATAAATGAACTTTAGGATGATGTCGATATAGTTGAGATTTACAAGGAACAGATGAACTGATTGAAAATGAATTTTGTAAATCAGAGAGGAATGAAGCTGTTTGCATCATATGTTTTTTACCAACCATGATATTCAGCAAAACCAGTCAAACATGTGTTATCAATAATGAATGACAGAGGGGATAAATCAATTGGATCCATTAATGCCTATTATACAAATGGGTTAGTTTACAAACCATTTTTTTTCATTAAAAATACATTTAACTGCTAAAACGAATTCTACTTTTTGTTTTTTTAATAATGAGAAAATCTCAAATAAACTCCAAAACTATTGTCGGCGCCAGAATTAAATAGGGGTGGGTATAAGCTCAATAACTCAACAACCGCAATAGCTAGCGACCTGCGGTTTTCGTCAATCGAAAGAGGAGGAGTTGGGACGCCTTTTTCTCTGATAATGTATAAGACGAAAACCTTTTAAAACTAATCATATTCGAAAAGCA